CACAGAATGTCATGTGACACATTTACACAGTTAAAAAGTGAGCAAAATATAATGTAAGTCATCTGTGCATTTGAGTGCCAATATCACTGATATTACTGTTGTATAGGATGATTTCCTGGATCACTATCAAAATGAATGGGTGTGGTAGTGTTAAAAACCTAAAATGTTTTTCCCTAATATATACTTTCTTCAAAATTGAAGGTCAATGTATGTAACACAGCCTCTTTGATTATATTTTATGCATAAGATATATATTTAATGTGATACCATGCGTAAAAGGCTGGTGTGAAACTGAATTTGTAGAGTATGTTAGAGGTTCTTCTAAAGACCACAACTTCTATCCTTTCATACTTACCTTCACAACATCCAGTAAAAAGATCTGCATGAAAAAGCCCTTGGCGGTTGCTGTCATTTGATAAGGCATTCCTCCAACTGCATAGCAGAGTTTTCTGGATAAAGGGATGCCAGGAGTTTTCTGAATCAAATCAACACGCATCAACTTCACATGAACGATTTTGTGAATTATGCTATATTTCAACGTTAATACGAGAAATAAAGCATTAGTCTATTCTCAAATGCTAACTGTTTTAAATTAGCAACATCTTTAAGTTTCCTCGATGCTGAAGAGCTGTAATTTACATCATCAAAACCTGCGGTTTACAAAGAATTCTTTATAAAATGTCATACCGGTTGATTGTCGTCATTTTCCGTGGCACAGATGTTGTCGTCTGTTTGCTTGTCCAATACATTGACACTATTGTTGGCCATCGTTCAGTTATCTAAGAGTTGCCCGTTATAGTTTACTGCCTCTTATACATGTTGCAAAGTGGGCGTGGCTCTTCCTCTGATACCCATTTCGCAATATTGCTTTAAAAAACAATGTATTATTTTTCTACCTGATAAATAATCGTAGTGAATAATTGTTCGACTAGTGATGGAAAGCCGAAATTCTAGTCACACAAATAACACATTTACTAGTGTTTTAGTGTCAGTTTTATTCAAAATTTTCTGAACTTACATTTTTGTGAACTCTCGACTGCAAATTTCCAATATCGCTTTGGGAGTGTTTTTATTTGCAAATCTCATTTTTTTATTTGTGAATTTAATTCATGTTTGTGAAACTCTAAGATTTATTTGTGGATCTCATTCTATTTATTTCATTCTATTTATTTGCCAATGTGTTTATTTTTGTTAATCTCTTTACATTTATTTGTGGATCATAATCTATTTATTTGGAATTATGCAACAATTCTATCTCCATAGGATGAACAACTATATGCAATAATGTGCTCTAGCATTTGTTTATAATACTGCTCTGGAAAAATAAAATAAGAGGCCACTCCAATGTTTTCTTAAATCAGCATCTCTACATGTATGGCAGCTATTCCATTCTAGGCACACCTCATTCTGCTTAATAAAGTACTGATTAGGTAATCACCTCAACCAAATCTTATTTAAAGAGGAAAAGTATAAAAACCACTGCTGTGGTCATTACTATCCTCTTGTGACCAGCTGGCAAAAACAGTGCTAGTCGTTTCTCAAAAGTAAATGGAATCAAATAATAACTACTGACCATGGAATATTTTTTAACAGCTTAGCGCATGTTTAATACAGCTTTGTGCATCTGTCTTGACTCAGGAAATAAGTGTCAGGAAATCTTCATTTTAGAAATGTCTTACCAGTGTTTCCCCTGCCATTATATTAGGGGTGGGCGGACCCCCCGCACATCAAACTGACGTCAAAAACTTCACGTCCATTTGACATCCACACACTGCTGTTCTTTCGACCACCAAAATAATGACACAAAAAGCAATGCAATGAAAGAAAAGTTTTATTCAACAAACTTGAAATCAAAAATACAAATGTCAATTTAAAAAGAAATGCACCTATTCTGATTGTGAACAAAGATCGCAGAACAACAGATGAACAATTAGGCTACTGACGCTAGTCCATATCACGATCTGAATTTGATTAGCTGTGCAGCGCTACTTTCTGATTGTTTAATTCAAAATTGCCCAAATTCTGTGACATTCCGCATTATACAGTGAATTGTGGTTTTATGCCTGGATTCCGTGGTTCCTTCCGTGTTGTCCGCATCGCAGAAATCATATAGGGCTCTATATATATACTAACCAGAAATAGTCATATTTTATTGAAACACATTATTGTAAGTGTTAAAAGTTACCCAAGATAACTTGTTTAACATTACATGACATGCACCCACCTAAGAGTGACAGAACGTGAGCTGGACACAAGGTCACGGTTTGTTTTATGATTGTCAAACTAGCATAGCGCCATCTGGTGTGGTGTTAAACAGCAGAGAAAGCTCTGTCGTTGAATGGCCATTAGTAAGGACACGAGTGTGTGGATGTGAAATCAAGGTCATCAAGTGACATCAAGTTATTGACGTCAGTTTGATTTGGATATTTGACCTGTTTTTTGACGTCAATGTTTGATGTCAATTTCAGGTCTTTTGAACATAATTTGCCCACTGGGACACGTTTCAAAAGGAGATGTGGCAAATCAATGCTGTCCGAGGCCCCAGTTTAGAAAAAATGCTACTTAAACTTGATCAGGCTGACAAAGAATTCATATTATGCAATAAATATCAAGCAAACACACAAATGTAAACTGAATGTCAAACACATTCGCCTGCATATCCATTAAAACAATTTCAGTGTGAGTATTAACTTCATATTTTCACCCAAGAAATTGCTGTCCAAACTGACCTTAAAATTATGTTATACAGCATCTTGATCAAGTCTTGACTAACATTTGACGTCATATTGATTTCAATTGACATACAGGTGCCCGCAGGGGAGGCTCCTTCAGGAACATATCCTCTTTTCTATTTTACTTTTCCCGTCATTCCAAGTTAATTGTGAGGAAGCAACCAATTGTAGCGGTCTGATCCACAATACCAGAATCTGGATTCCCACACTAGCTGAAAAGTCTACAAACGAAGCTGAGCTGCGCCGAAAACATTCAGTCGATTGTTAAGATGGTAAGTGTCTCAGTTTTCAAGCGCAAATCTTTTCGGACTAGATTCGACACTTCATTAATAGGGGGAGGCCGAACACAGGTCAAATGTAGCACTTCCAATTTCTCAAATAAGGAACAAGTTATAAATCAGCTAATTCACTTCACACATTCTCAAATTAGTCTTTATTCCGCATGTGAGGAAGTAGGCTAGAGCCATGTGGCAAACAGCAGATTTTAGAGGAGAAAAACAAATTTTGAGGTAAGAAAGTAACTTTTTATACTTCAATTTTTTTGTGATGGCAGTCCCTGCTTTGTATGTCGTCTGGTGTGTCATGAGTGGAAGGAGCTGGTGGACAGTGCTGCACACTGGAGAGAGCGCTGTCGGAGAGAGGGGATCCAGCCACAAGATGTTTCCAGACCCCTAGATGACTGGCGCCTGTTTTACTTTAAAACTAAGAAAGGGTGTAATTTGCTCAAGAATCCCAGAATTAAGAAGACTGCAATAAGTGTCACTATTAAAATGTGATTTTGCTTCAGGTAACGTCACTTTTCTGATGTTCTTATTGGGTAAACTTAAAATCTAAATGAGGGGAGAGGGTGCAATTGCATTGCATTCATTTAACATAAACCCTGCTGTTGACAAATGTAGCCCGTCCCCTTTGCTATATACTCAGCCCAGCCATATCCCATATGTATCTATATTTATGACATATAGTTATCTCTGACAGCAATAAACAATGTTTTTAAAGTCTAGTTTACTTTAGTACTATTTTAGCTTGCATGAAGCAGATGTATTGTCTGTTTATATTGTCTGTTCAAGCACACAGCATGAAAACAGGAAAACACAGGCAGTTACTAGTTTAAGTCCGCAGATGTTCACCTCTCCTGCATCCTCTAGCCTGCAGCTCATTGTGAAGTACCTGTTACATAACATGCTCTCAACACTCACTTCATCTGTAGTCTTGTAATGTGGGTGTCTGGAGTAGCACATATCCACCTCCCACGCCACCTCCATGAACAACACGACAAGTCAACACGTTAATTGGTCTTAAATTGATAGTTCAGCCAGAAATAACAATTCTGCGACCATTAACTCAGTCATGTCATTCCAAAACTGTATGACTTTCTTTCTTCTTTGAAGAAAAACGTACTTTGACATGAAATGGATACAGTGGAAGTCAATGGTAACCAAAACTGTTTGGTTATCAACCTTCTTCTTTTGTGTTCTGCAGAAGAAAGCAAGTCAAACAAGACTGGAATGACATGATCTGGAGTAGCACATATCCACCTCCCACGCCACCTCCATGAACAACACGACAAGTCAACACATGTTAATTGGTCTTAAATTGATAGTTCAGCCAGAAATAAAAATTCTGCGACCATTAACTCAGTCATGTCATTCCAAAACTGTATGACTTTCTTTCTTCTTTGAAGAAAAACGTACTTTGACATGAAATGGATACAGTGGAAGTCAATGGTAACCAAAACTGTTTGGTTATCAACCTTCTTCTTTTGTGTTCTGCAGAAGAAAGCAAGTCAAACAAGACTGGAATGACATGAGGGTGAGTAAATAATGACAGAATTTTTTTGGGTGAACTGGCCCTTTAAGGCCTAAGACTATTGGCCACAAGATGGTGCTGTGCAGTTTTCTGCATGGCAATAAAAACATTCACATATTTACACATGGCTGTTTATTTATACACTTTTGCATCATTACCGCTTCTGAGAAGAAGTGCTGATGCAGAGAGAGTAATCAGTAAGGCATTCGTTGGTTAATTTCTCTGAAGTGTGTCAACTCTTTACACACAGCAATATTGTTGCAACCAGTGATACGCACCATATCTGTCTGGATATGGTGCAGAAATTACACACTGCACCTTTAAGACCACTAATGTTTCTCAATTCTGGCCTTGAGGCTGCAGAACTGCATGTATTAAATATCTCTTTTATTCACCTCGGGTGTAACAAGATTAGTGAAATTCCTAAGTGGTTTTGGGATCCCTACAGAGAAGGATTGAGAAACATTCACCCTGCACGATAAAAAAAACAATTGTTTATTATTAACAGTTCCAGAACCTGTGAATGTTACAAAAGTAATTAAATCCTTATAAGTAATGAAATGTGTCATAGTGAGTGATTACTTCATAGGCTCAGTTCTTCTTCTCCTTTCATGCTGGTCTCTGTCCTGTGTAAAACAGGCAGTGAAGACACAGTTAATACAGTTATTGCAACTTATGCAAAACTGTAACATAGTGTGAGAAAATGAAGACATATTACGCAGACATATTTGAACATAATAAGCAGTGCTGAAAATGAATGTAAAGACTTAAAGGAACACTCCACTATTTTTGAAAATAGGCTCATTTTCCAACACCCCTAGAGTTAAACAGTTGAGTTTTACTGTTTTTTAAAGTTCCTTGATTATTACGCCGGAATGAGAGTATAGTTTTTGAGCGAGATGCTAACGGTCTAATCCGATTCAATGATCTATGCTAAGCTACAGCTAAAAGTGCTACCGCCAGACCCGGAGATTGGCTGAATGGATTCGAAAACGGTAAAACTCAACTGTTTAACTCTAGGGGAGTTGGAAAATTAGCCTATTTTCAAAAATAGTGGAGTGTTCCTTTAAAATGAACCTTGGCCTAAAGTGAGTGTGAAAGCAGTTGTTTTTGTACAGATGTGGCAATGAAAAAATGGCAGTATTTTTGATAAGAAATATATGTAGAAAGAATTAACGTCTCATTCATGACTCCTCAACTCAGTCAGCTATTCTCGCAAAATAAAACCCTCAAGGTAATACAAACAAACACATACCCTGCTTTCTGTAATGCGTCCTGGATTTTCCTCCGTCGCTCTTCATTGATGGGATAGAAGCAAAAAATCACCAAACCAATGAGCAGCAGGCAGATTGGCACCGGAGCGAAGAGCATCTGCAGCGAACATATGACCTCTGGATTGTGTTTACAAGCACCAGACTTGTATCCTGCAAAGCTGAAGAGATAAGGATAACATTAAACAAACCATTGTAAAATCAATTGGAAACTTTAGGTTTTGGATTCAAAATCTGATTGGAGGAAGCTCTTACTGTAGTACCAAAGTAGAGATTCCAACAGACATGCCTCCTCCAAATTTGTTGAAGAAAACGTAGCAGGAGTAGAACAATGGTTCTAGATCCTGGCATGATGGGTTCTTGACTTTGAAGTCATCCACTACATCTGGCAACACTGACCTAAAATAAATAACTAACCTGGTTATATACAGCAGTTTGACAAAGTTAATATGGTCATAATGATAATAACATATATGATGATAATTGTGTAGGTTGTGTGTTGGTGAGGTGAGGGCTTTAAGAATGAAGAAGAGATATTTTATAAGAGTTACCTTACCAAGGGAGTAGATAGAGGGCTGCCAGACTCGTACCAGCTAACATGGACATAATAATGAAGACGGGTAAATTACTTTTCATTAGGGATATCACAATTAGAGCTGGGATATAAACCTGCAGAGAAGAGGAGAAAGAGGGATGAACTCTGGACTCGTGGTGGATTTCATATATATATATATATATATATTTTTTCATTGATGGGATAGAAGCAAAAAATCACCAAACCAATGAGCAGCAGGCAGATTGGCACCGGAGCGAAGAGCATCTGCAGCGAACATATGACCTCTGGATTGTGTTTACAAGCACCAGACTTGTATCCTGCAAAGCTGAAGAGATAAGGATAACATTAAACAAACCATTGTAAAATCAATTGGAAACTTTAGGTTTTGGATTCAAAATCTGATTGGAGGAAGCTCTTACTGTAGTACCAAAGTAGAGATTCCAACAGACATGCCTCCTCCAAATTTGTTGAAGAAAACGTAGCAGGAGTAGAACAATGGTTCTAGATCCTGGCATGATGGGTTCTTGACTTTGAAGTCATCCACTACATCTGGCAACACTGACCTAAAATAAATAACTAACCTGGTTATATACAGCAGTTTGACAAAGTTAATATGGTCATAATGATAATAACATATATGATGATAATTGTGTAGGTTGTGTGTTGGTGAGGTGAGGGCTTTAAGAATGAAGAAGAGATATTTTATAAGAGTTACCTTACCAAGGGAGTAGATAGAGGGCTGCCAGACTCGTACCAGCTAACATGGACATAATAATGAAGACGGGTAAATTACTTTTCATTAGGGATATCACAATTAGAGCTGGGATATAAACCTGCAGAGAAGAGGAGAAAGAGGGATGAACTCTGGACTCGTGGTGGATTTCATATATATATATATATATATATTTT